TGAAGAGAGAGGCAGAGACTGGAGTGATGTGTCTACAAGCCAAGGAACGTCAAGGATTGCTGGCAACCACCAGAAGTCAGGAGAGAGGCATGGAACAGATTTTTCCTCTCAAGGCTTCAGAGAACACACAGCCCTGTTGACACCTTAATTTCTGAACTAATGGGTGACCTCAAATGACCCATGAGTGCTCTGAGGCCTGTGGGGAGACCAAAGTTAGTTCACTTAAGTTAACCACAGTCAAAATGACTGCTTCTTTTGGGGATTAAATGACCTGGCCTTACGCAAATATATTGATACGAAGGGATTGTGTTTTTTTGATCCTTATATTCAGCCTGCCAAAAACCGTCAGCAAACAAGCCAAGGCCTGCCGCCAACTTCCCAGCTTCCGAAGTCCTTTTTTCCCCATGTCAATTAGGAGTTGGCAGGTGGCAGGCAGTCTCTGACATTTGGTCTTCTCCCTACTTTAATGCTTGTCACTCCTTTGCCAAGTTGTTCTAAGTACATAAATGCCACATAAATTCTTCATTTGAACTAAGCGGTCTCTTACCATTAATTAAACAAGGATGTCATTAGTCTGCTGTGGCTGCCTACAAAGTAAACAAACCAAAATGTTAACCTGTATAAATGCCTCTACGTTAGGAAATCAAAATGCTAAGGACAGCCCATCATAAACAGCTAACTAGGCTTTAAGCTACCGCCAATCAATTTTCTTTGCTTCCCTACTTCCTCTTCAGGAGTCTCCTCTGGCTCTTGTCAGGGGAGTGCTCCTAACCACTTTGGTTTGACGCTGCCTGATCTGAATCAATTTTTGCTCAGATAAACTTTTAAAATTTTAAATAAGCCCCAGTTTATCTTTTATTAAGCCCAAATCCACAGTTCTAGCCAAACCAGCGATCTGGCTCAGGGGTTTCTCCTTCACTCACATCTACTCTTCATCTGGAACTTGGTCCCCTCTTAGCATCCTCTGGGTTCCACCATCATGTGTGGATTCCTCGCTGATGAAACAGACCAGCCATGCCCTCCTGGAGCTTATATTTTAATGGGGGAAATAGATACCAAATGATACAGGCATGGTGAGAGCCCGGAAGAAGAAGCAGGACGGAGAGAGATCAGTGTCAGTGGGGTGACAGGGAAGGCCTCTGTAAATCCATTTAGATGAAGACATACAGGATAGGAAAGAAGGGACAGCTGGAGGGAGTGGGGGACCAGAGCTTTGCAGGCAGCGGGCACAGCAGAGCTAGGTGACAGGAAAGCAGTCTGGGAGGTGAGCAGAGTGAGGGGAGGATGGAGGTGGGAGGGCCAGGCCCAGCCAGATCCTGCAAGGCTTTAGACAAATAAATTTGGATTTCCGCCCAAGTAAAACAGGAAGCCACTGGAAGTTTTGTTTTTTTTTTTAAACAGTTTTATTGAGGTATAATTTACATACCATAAACTTTGCCTGTTTTAAGTGTACAAATAAATGTATAGAAATATCTCAGTATCACCTTGGTCCACTTTTAGGACCTTTTCCTCACCCCTTGAAAGTTCTGTAGAGTGCTTTTATTTGTATTAAATGTCTGTAAAAGGCAAATCTGCCGAGACAGAAAGCAGATTAGTGGTTGCCTGGGGCTGGGGCTGGGAACAGGGAGTGACTGCAAACAGCACACAGGAAGGTTTTAAACCAGAGGCTGACAAGATTGGATGGCCTCCTCCTTGAGCCCTCAGTCCAAGTGCATCCTTGCCTTTGCTAGTTTATACGCCCGCCCTGTCAGCTGTGGGGCACTGTTCCCTGAAGATGCTTCTCTGTTTATTTTTTTCATGCACTTAGCAGGCATTGAATTTAGCAAATATGTGTTTCCTCCGCTAATGTAGGACATGAACAACATTTATGCATTGGTATTCGATTACCAATTGAGGAAAAGAATGAAATATTTGAGCAGTGCACGCAGTCTTTC